CCCATATATGATGTATCCTGGAACCCCAACTCTTCAGAGTTTTGCGTGGTTTATGGTTTCATGCCCGCCAAGGCGACTGTCTTTAACCACAAGTGTGAGTCTGTGTTCGACTTCGGCACGGGTCCCCGAAACGTGGCTTTCTACAGCCCCCAGGGTCACATCCTCGTCCTGGCCGGGTTCGGGAACCTGAGAGGGCAGATGGAAGTTTGGGACGTGAAGAAATACAAGCAGGTGTCGAAACCCCAGGCTGAAGACACCACACATTTCTCCTGGTGTCCTGATGGAGAACACATAGTGACGTCGACCTGCTCCCCCAGGCTCAGGGTCAGCAATGGCTTTAAGATCTGGCATTACACCGGGACTGTGTTGTTCAAGCATGAAACCCCTTCAAATAAAGAGCTGTGGGAAGTGTTATGGCAGCCCTTCCCGACTGGAACGTTCCCGGAGAAGGAGGTGAAATACCAGGCGTCGCCAAGTGAGCTCGGCAGCACTGAAGCCAAACCAGCGCAGGCGTATCGTGCACCCGCTCTCCGCAACAAACCCCAGACCGCCAGCTCCAAACTAGTGAGTTTATGCAATGCCAATTCTGTTTATGTCCACCTTATGAATGTCCTGTGGCAATAATTTGTCTATCCAAGCATGAAGAGGAGCCGGCGCAGAACATGAAACCTGGTGCTGCAGGAGAGAAGCAAATGTCTAAAGCTGCTTTGAAAAATCAGAAAAGACGAGAAGCGAAGAAAGCAGCTAAACAGGTACAGGTGCTTTTAGTGTTTGCATCTGTTGAATAAACCGTCAAGAGGAGTAAGTGATGCATTCTGTTGTTTCAGGAAAACAAGTCGGATGAAGCTCCGCCTCCAGCAGCAGACTCCGCCCCTGCCAGTCATGTGACTTCTAGCTGTGGAGACCCTGAAACTGATAAAAAGATCAAGAATTTAAAAAAGGTGAAATGGTTGGTATATGTTTAATCAGCATAGATACAGTGAGGAAAAACCTCTTGAAGGGGAATAGACCACAGAGTAAAATGGGCCTACTTTTATGATACTTTGAATTTAATTTAATTTTGTTATTATTATTTTTT